TTCCGCAACCAGCATTCATACATTCACACCGTCTCACGCGTGCTTGTTACCTGTTGCATCGAAGGGAGACCTGTAGTGTGTTCACTACACACAGTCCGCGCAAATGATGTACAATGATCAGACTCCTCAACTATGATCAGAACCGTACAGCCATGCAGCATGTGTCCCTCGGAATTTGTCGCCAGTAAACAGTGGCCACGTGGCGTAAGGCTAACCGCTGCATCCCCACCATCTGTCGTCACTGAATAATACTGGAATCCCTCATCGGCACGCCGGAGTCCCTATCGGCTCATAATTTGTCGCCGGAATCCCTCATCGGCTCATATGTGCGAACCTCGCCAGTTGGAGTTGCTGGAACGATTCCAACAATGGTACCCACAGTTACCGAGTTCACTGCCGCTGCTAATGGTCAGTTGCCCATGGTCATCTTAGCGAACCCCGCTCTGTGGCCGCATGTGAATCTACCAACGGAAAAAATCGGCCATGCTTCCGACAGCCTGACGCCCTCTTCCGACGTTCACCTTCTGGGATTCGCAAGAAGCCGCTGAAAAGTGAGTCTCATGTTCTGCGAGTCGCCAATCCATCAACGGTACCCTACAACGTGCTACTGCTTCTCTCACCAGCGGCCAGCGACGTGCAAAAATGTGTCCCACTCCATCTGTGAGTCATGGAGAAATTGCCCAACAGCCACTCCTTAATTTCCGTAGGGAGTAGGACGTTTCAACCCACGGCTAGACAACTGCCTACGTACCGTGCAGGACCCCCTCTGCCGCTACCCGCGGGGAGTCATTAAGTAAACTACGACGCTTTCTGTCGAGTGGTACAAAATTCATGTCGCACATTTTCATGGATCTGCCATTTTTCGCAATGACTGTTCATTGAAACGCATAGAGCAGCACCGCCAGGCCGGGGTCAGCACGTCGTTTAACAGCACACATGAGCGACATGTTTGCATATTAGATATGGTAATTACTATTCTACGACGCAAGCACGAAAGGAGTGCACGACATATAACGGATCGGAAATAATGTGCGAGTACGGAAGCTCAACATTCCCACACGCATTCCTTTTCTTTAAGGTGCATTAACCCGACTCAAGTCTTTAACACATAAAAGGGCCGGGGATCCCAGGGAACCGCCGAAGTGTCGGCGATTCCTCCGCCGGGCTTACATTTTGCAGAGGCGTAGGCGCCGAGCGCCCGGCCGTCGGCGCGGCAGACCGATAGAGCCTCCAACACTGCTGGCCCCGCCATTGTGGCTACAGCTGCACTGTACTGCGTTCTCCCTGTGTACTGTTTTGCCTACGGCGGGATCGATGCCCTTAAAGGGCCGCCCTATTGATCGTCGTCTCACACATGTCCGGAACGAGCACCCGCGCCAAACGTACAAACACTGTACTCGCACAGCGGAAAAAACAGCATGTGGCCCGCGGCGAATAGAGACACCGGCAGCGGCAGAGTACTGCAGAGTGCTTGACAAGTGCAAAGAGTCCATCAGCACATCCAAACGAGGCATGATCGTGTCTCAGTTTGACGCGCCAACGCTGTCAGAGTGTGACCCAGGCCAAGCACGGAGCGATAAGGGTCGAAGCGTTCGGATGAGTGGGGGCATCATATCCTTTCGTCTTGACAAGATGGAAGCGACGCGAAAGATTTACGGAAAAAGTGTTCAAATCCGGATGGGTCGATTTCTGTCGTCTGTTTAAGGTCTCATAAGCCAGACAAATCGGTATTAGTTCGCTCATAAATGGGCCTGTTTATCTTAATTGGGCATTTGTTGACTGAAGGTAGCTGGCATGCCATACAGACTGATCACTGGGATGTTTCTCCTGGTTCGTAGGCCAGTTTCATCCCTTCGTCTGGCCAGGAAGTCATGGTAAGCATATGAAGTCTGATCGTCTGAGCAATGACATTGCCTTCACTGCCGCGTGATATCTAGGTTTAGAAATTACATATAAAAGTCTGACTTTAAATTCAAGGTTTAGATGGATTGAGCCAAGACCAATCATTATGCCCTGTTCCGCAGACTCACCATGGACTGTGGCTCCTCTAGACATGACAGTCTCCTACCATCGCGCAAACTACACCTGACCCGGTGGTGATGCTCGTTTAGCTCCACTATCTGCCGACTCAGTGACCTGAGGTAGTCGTCTCGGCCCTCTTCAGCGTCCTTCAGCGTGCATATTTCAATTGTAGCCCACTCTCTGCAGCAGACCTTATCGTCGCCGCCGTCCTCATTTATTGCCCTCTTCCGCATCGTCATCCACCGCCAGCCTCACGACCAACATGAAGCCGTCCTCATCCGGAGAGTCAGTACGGGCATACAGTGTATTCTCGCTTGCGAATACCACACACGGCATGATCGAGCAAGCCACGACGGGCTGGGTCGGGAAGATCAAGCGCAGAGTTCAGCGAGACGTGGGATTCTGGTGACAGGTGCAGGTGCTGCTGGCTTATGTGCATTTCTTTCGTCGGGATAGATAGGGGCGGAGAAGCCGAGTTTTAGGTTAATTTCATCCTGGTTACACAGATCACACACTTATGTTAGGCTTCCCGACACTAGGGTTACCTGCGCTCTAACCTTTAACGCCTTCACATTACGAACAGCCAGTCTTTTTGCCCCGAAGACATCAGCTCAAGTTGCCAACTTGTGGCTTGCTTAGGCCCTCACCTCCGCTTCCTCCTTTCGATCAATGCACCGACCTCTGCTGGTTGCCTGCACATAGGGAAAATGCTACGGGTCTGTCCCAGTTGCCCGCCCTCTTACACCATGCATGTGGTCGCTTCTGACAACTCCAATACTCTATTCTGCTGGAAGATAAAAAAGTCAGAATAGACAGCCGCTGTTGGTGCTCGGCACTTGCCTGGCGCGCCACTTCAAAGCCATCCATGATATCTTTGCATCTGAAGCAGGCGCAGGGCAGTCATCCTATTGATTCTACGAAATAACGGACATCAGACACAGATTCGGTCCGTTAAATGACGGACATGAGTGGACCGGCGCATGCCAAGCTAACCCAGGATTCAGTGGTGTAATTTTCTAAAATCGGTAAGTGGGCCTGAAGCGGCAATAATGATCCAGCCCGCGTCTAAAACCTGATTTAATCTCCATACTTCGACCGCTTGAATTTGCATCCCGAAGTTGAAGTTAAGCAACATTTTGTTGACTCCAGACGCACAGCACCATGGGTAATCGGCCGGACGATTAACTACCCGCAACAGGTTCAGCTGGTGCACATCCTGGAGCGCCAAGGGGTCCACATGGAGCGCCTTTTTGTCACGATTCGACGGATATGGGATCACTGATAAGGATTTTTAGGGGCGCAAGATACGCATACAAAACATGACGATCTGTTTGACGCAAAACAATTTACCCTCTTTATTTTCGGGAACAGCTTATTTGTACCGCGTTTGTCGGGATACTCGGTTAGCTACTCCCACTTCGGCGCCCAATCTGCGCAACTTACACTTGACCGGGTCAAGTTGACCCTCACTTGATTGTTTGAAACTGGTGTTGTCACTTACGATCCATCGGCTACAGTCTTGAAGGGAATGAAAGGAAGGGAAGATTTAATACTTTTATTTTTCCTATGGCTCTGGGATCGTCCAAGGGAGAAATGACTCCATGCATACCCTTCCGTCTGCATCTGTGCCTAGAATGACGTGATCATAGTTTTGCAGTCCAGCAATCGCCTCGTCTATAAGTTGACACTGTGACAGCGAGAGACCATACAACGAAGTAATGCGTGACGATACAAAGGCCGCCTCCAGAGGTCGTACATTCCCATGCCCCGTGAAAAGTAGAAAGATATCCACTTGATCTCGGATCTTGTATACTTCAAATCGACGGTGTCCAGGTGTGATTTTCCAAGTCATTGGGTCCCGGGGCGTCGTCAATGGGAAGTAATGCATTGGGCCCGAGCGAGATGATTTGGAGACATTTACGAGTTCGTCTGGTCGCTCTCGCTTGCTCTGGGGACACTACTTGTTGACGGAAACCTCTTTGTTGGCATGCCGCGACACCCATGAAAGCTCAGGTTCCGTCCGTCCCCATTGGCCTTAGTGCCTTGTTAGCCTTAGGGCAGCAGTCGGGTATGCGTCGATTAACTTTTACGCGGAACTGTGGAACATAGTTTTACGTGTCGCCGACGTCGCACGTGTCATTTCCGTCGGTTATTGAATTTGTCCCACCTACTTGCGCATCACGTTCTAAGTACGTTCCAAATACCAGGATAGTTTGTACTCCTTCATGTCAAACAAAACAAAACTGCATTAGTTATCAGCCATAACCTTCTAACATCGACCATCTGGCTAGCTGTAAACAAGCTAGGAGTCAAGTTCGAGCTTGATTTTAAAAGTATTCAGCAGCCAATGTTAGTTTATGTTACCACATTTTTCCGAAAAAAACTTAGCCTCAAAAGGACAGGGTCCGCCATGTTCTGGAAAAATGAATAAGCTTTTTGTACGTGCATGCGCAACACGTTGATTTTTCTAGGGCTGCACAGAGTAAGATGTCTTCCCGTTTTAGCACGACATTCTAAGAAACTTCAGATCCAATGACCCGAATGCGAGGGCTCTTTTTGAGGGTGGGAGTGGGGAGGGGGGGGGGGGGGCTCAGCGCTAGAGGGCCGCACAATGTTGCGTGCCCTCCCGCCCCCTTGACGAGATCCTGGATCTGCCCATGCTTACCACGACAGGGTCTAGGCACCGCAGCATGAAGCAGACACGCCCGTTCTCCGGAACGGCCCGTCTGATCGTCTCGAAACCTTCGCGAGTCGATTCAACGCGATAAGGTGAGTTATGAGGTGGCAGCATGGATAACTGGCCTGGAGTCAAACACCTCAAAAGCGCGAAGAGAAAATTTCACATGCAAAAACAACTCCGATGTCAGAACTTTCTGCACCGATAGCTGCGAAACATTCACCATTGGATGCGTCCTACCCGATTTCCTCTTGCAGTTAAAAATTTGGTCTCCCTAGGTCAGGTCAAAAGTCATCAGATTTAACAAAATCCAAAGTTCATACTTGCAGACAACTCAAATCTGCACCTTCAAATGACCCTGCTTTATTCTCGGCTTCGTAACGTCCACTTTCGTTGCCATGGAAACCAGCCAAACCCTGATCTGCTAAGAACGGAACTGCTGCTTTCAATCCGTTTGAGTGAAGTAGCGTTTAACCAATGTAACATACCGCACAGAAGGTATAAATTTGCAGTGGTGCAGAATTATTTCCATTAGAATGGACTTATGCTTTTAAGCACAACTTAAGGGGGGTTTAACTGCCATCAGTTGGATAGTTTTACTGAAAATCTCAAGACAGTCCAGTCGTTTGAAGGCTGTCTAGCAGGACGACATGCCTGAAGAACAGAAACTCGTGATGCGACTTAGTTCACCCGAGAGGTCGCACCAGAATGAACGCCGTGGAAGCATAAGTTTCAAAAGTTTACTTTGCAGATTTATTGTGAATGTGTTACTGTTTTGTTTATCGGTAATCATCTTGTATCACTGCTATCGGATCATATTTCTGTGTCTTTTCGCATTGCTACAGACCATTGATGGCATACTTCAAACCATTGGGCGTCGCAATTACACAGTGCAGATCAGGCGGCGGGAAGACGAACTTCGAGTTGAAACCCAGATTGACGCCTTACTTCAGATAAGCCACGTCATCACATCCCGCCGTGGTCAAGGCGCATGTCATGCAAGAGAAACCGTTAAAGACTTCGCTAAGGTACGATGTGCACCTGGTCCTTCACCTAGGTTTTGGGATCCATTTGATTTCGGTGAAAAGCTGTAACCCTGCGGAAAACACTGGATAGTTCCGTTTCTACTACGCACATGGGTGAATGCATTGAAGCACGACTAGACACAGCTGCCGGTTGTCGCATGCCGCGTGTTTCATTGGTTTTTGTTTCAGGGAACGGAAGTTTTTGCTGATGGCCGCGACTGCTTTGTGCGATTTTTCAATGCTAGCGAAGAAGACTACGACCAGCAAATTCTTCTTTTCCAAGCCTTAAAGGTAATAGAGGGTCTCCAGCAGATCCGTCTTCTCCAAGCCTTAAAGGTTTTAGAGGGTCTCCTTCCATTTACCGAAGTACGCATAAAGACACTGCAGTAACCTGTTTAATCCACTTTTTGTTCTTAACTATGGATTCCGATGCGCAGGCGCCAAATAACAGCCAGCAGGGCGCTCCCCTACACCAGCCATAAAGCATGCAGTGCGGTGAGGTAGTTGCTATTTGTGGAAACCGATTAAAGGTCACTGACACTGAACACGCACGAGCGGTCTGTTCATTCGTTCAATGTGCCGTATACTAGGAGACGTTTGGTGCTATTCTTCCGCCCATCATTAATCATCGCATTCTCCAGCCCGTCTGAATGTTCCGCTCAATGAAATCACACCATTTCTGGATGAGCACGTATTCTGCGTACCACTTAAAACCGCGCTCATCACTGGCATTCCACCTCCGTAGCTCTATTGGTAGAATGCTCGACATCCGACCAGTGTGACAGGCATGTGCCTTCGCGCCCAAGTCACTGCACTGGGGGTGACCAGTGGCGCACTGATCAAGAGGGCGGCGCCCGTGCCATAGCTTTACCGAACATGATAACATGCGCGCGCATGCAGATAAGGCTCATTGAGCTGTAGCTGATCTGTTGGAATAGACGAATCCAGGCCCGTAAGAAGCCATACATGACAAGTGGTCTGACCCAAATGTCGGGTTCAATTTCTAGAGAAAAACGTTTGCAGCCATGAGACGACTTGCTGCCAGTGCGACATCACACACCCGCCCACCCTTCCGCCACGTGTGTGCTTGCACAGCGATTTCTTCCGTTCCCAGGGACTGCCCATGATCCAAGCGACCGAGCCTGTCACGATGCACGCTGTACAGCATCTTCAGTTCTCTCGAGACTTGTACGACCTCGTCGGACGGAATGTGGCCGAGAGGTGCCATCGTCGCAGGCTCTTCTGGCTATTTCCCACCACGCGCTCGTTTGCCAAACACTTGGCGTCCTGTAAATGCTTCGACACGTTTTACGCCCGATTTAGTGTTTGCAAAGAAAAAAAGCACCAACCAAAGAAATAGCTCGGGAAATATACAGCGAAAAGATGGGTGTGAGTCTCTCCACATTCGCGTACTGCATCAGTCCTTCGAGACTCCTTGTCTTTGACCTGTTTGGGTCATTTTGGAGAGAAAAAGCATAAACCACAAAAATATCCGGGAAATATCGAGCAAAAAGACGGCGTGAATCACCAAATTAGCATACATCAACCCATCGACGTCAGCAGTCGGCCCGAGCATATCTCAGGCGCGCCATCCGCAATGTGTGCTGTAACAACGCTACGTCACGTTATGACGTCAGCCAACATGACGGCACTGTCAGGCGTGAAGGGCACTTTGGCGTCAGACAAACTGTTGATTCGGCGGAAAAAGGAAATCTCGAAAGTCTGGTGGGACGTTCCATACATCTTTATTCTATGAATAGCAATCAGCGTGTTTCGGATCCTAACTGCGAGAAAACGCCCGCGGCTTGAAGACCTCTTGAAGGCCCACACATTGCCAACGCGCCCTGCACCACCAGCTATCACAAAACTTGCGATGCTCAACTGGACAGCTTCCCCGACACACGTTGCCGCCGTGTCCACGCGGCCCCGTTCCGGCGCCCGTCAGGCGTCATCAGCGGGACGTACAACACCTCCACCTACAGGTGGAACTTCCTGCGGCTGTCCTCCATTTCGTGCCGTTTGCGGATCCACTCGTACTCGCCGCACTTGGAGTCAAACGTGCCCTTCTGCAGAGACCGCAGCTTGAGCGTGAAGCGCGGCCCCAGCTCCCTCAGCGCCACCTTTTTGCTGTCCTTGAACTCGTACCTGAAGAAACAGGGATGACAGGAGCGGGCTCAGTACAGGAACAGTACAGAGGCCAGTGACGCCAAATAATGCACACGGAAGCTCCGTCCTTCAACGCAACTGCCCGTTTGAAACCATAAGCAGCATTAAACGAGTGGCGCGACCACATCTGCACGGATAAGAAAACGTCACAAAATGGGTCACAACGGCACCAAAGCCTCTCGTCATGCCGTCAGACACGGTAACGAGCGCAGAGTCAACAGAGTCAGAGTCTTGTAATTGGGCTTTCGGGCGCTTCGACTGCCCGGTCTTAAGTGCCCAGGCGCCATACACAGAGACAACGCGACGTCACAAGACGACCGGCGTGGGGTCTCAGCTTAGCCACACGTGGTCAATAGGGAGCAGGACGCCGTCCGCGAGATACGGTCGAGGCAGGCCGTATCTTGCGGACGTATCTTGCGCCGTCACAGTAATGCTACGACCCAAGCATGGAGGAATCGACAAGTGGTAATAATCACGGTGGTGCGGCGAGTGGGGTGTGGTGAGAGGCGTTTGATGTATACCATTATGTTGTGTTGCATTTCAGACGATTTCAACTCTCGTCACCCAACCAGGGGGTCGTGATCACCCCCGACCTGGTCGCGCGATAGGCACATTAAGCGCGTTACTGCCTCAGAACATGCGAAGGAATTTCGTATTTACGTACGTGATAACACAAGGTTGCTATAGTGTTGGCATTCTACACAAACGCAACAAAAAAAGCAACAAATAAATAAAGGAAGAGTAAGTAGCCAGGGAGTACTGAAAAAATCGTGGAATTCATCAACTTCAGTTGCGGTCAAAGTCAATAGCCGTTTGACAAAGGCGCTCAGCAAAATGCAGAACTGGGAGAAACTTAAAAAGCCGACGGTCGCTTTTATGACACGCTGCTAATTCCAGAAATGGGCCAACACCCGATGATAGTACACAAACAACAAGAAAATGAAAAATAAAAACGTCCCGAGGCTCCCCTGTCATTTGCTCGTTTAAATATATGTTGTCAGCGCTTCCAGGCGCAGAACCATACAGATCGGGTCTGCACAACAGCATCCTGGCTCAGCGTTGCCCTGAAATGGAGACTTCCTGAACCTCAAGACAGTAAGGCAGGGTGTCCGGTAGCCGAATGGAATCTGTTTGATACGGTGCTGCTGTGGCTTCACATATTACCGCTGCTTCTTTGCATACATGCGCAGACATCCGTCGCACGCCCCTTCGAAAACAAAACTACGTGGCTGGGCCACGTAGAGCATGGCCCATGCCAGTTATACGCGACCGCGTATGGGGCATAGGTCGCAGTGATTGGACGCCAACGTCCAACCAAGGCGACACAGTCGCTCTGGTTGGACGCGTTAGCAGGGGAAACCGAGGCCACGAAGCTTTACCCGATCCCGACTGACTACCTGGCGGATCGCACCCTGGTTTGCACTTCGGAGTGTGGTGAAAGTCTTTAGCGCAACGTAGCATAAGTCTTCACGTTTTATGAATGGTCACCACGTGTACCAGCTCCCAAGCTTTTTACTGTTCCCAGTAACTTGCATAAATGGAACAAACGTGCCTATCAAAACCCAGCTGTCGTCGATTGTGTTAGAGGTGCGTACTTTACCGCCGCCAACACAAAACCCGTAGCAACGTTGGCTTTTGAATTTCTGGCGTGTAACGCTTTGAGCCTTGATTCACGATGGCTATCTGCAGCGGCGAATAACGAAGGAAGTCCAACGACCCAATTATGGTCCTACACACGTCAACCAACACGCCGATGTTTACAAAAAACCGTGATGCAGTACGCGCAATATAGGGAGCGTAATACTCACGGTCCACACACAGTTATGCTACCTTATGCCACCAACTCTGCGATTGCATTCTCCACGACCAGCGCGACGCATTCGGGGAGAAGTACTGATGCTGACTGCACGTCATATCATCAAGTCCAATGGACCGAGGGAAACTCAATGGCCACCCAAACTGATTTTTGACAAAGTTCCTGCCATGACCACTCTACGGTACTTACCGCGGTACGTCTATTTCCAATGCCATCCCTAACATAACTCAACCTAACCTAACCTTCCCTTGCCAAACATGATTTTGTTTCAAACGGCCAATCATGCTGTTCCATGCGGCGTTTATCCGATACTTTAGAATACAACTACGTTTATCGCCACTTATTTTCGACGAAATGATGCATGAACTCAAAAATTTAAGTTGCAATGGAATCACCCTAAAAATTAAGCCCTCAGGTGCCAGGCATCTTCCAAAAACAAAGACTGAAACATTTGCGACAGAAAACAAGTAAAACACTCGGGCTGCACCGAACTCCGAGGGGTCATCATCACCACACTCGACGGCGGTTGCGGCCACGGCCGGCGCGGCGCTCAATAGCCCCAGCCGACGTCTGACGAGCAGGCAACGCCGAGAACGACGCCACTCTAAGGCCGCACCTGTGATGTCGGAAGAAGATGTAGTCTCGCTGATTATGCAGCGTCATCACGCGCCGGCCCTTGAACTCCGGGTCGAAGTGGAACAGCGAGGCCAGCATGCGGCCCACCCTGTGACCCAGCATGGTCGTGAAGTTGTTCAGCACCACCTCCGGACGGTGGTGGGTGAACTCCTTGATGCGCTGCAAAAGCCACGAATTCGCGGGTTAATAATCACGCATGCAGTTTCTTCCTCAATAATCAAGATAAATTTGTGTTCTCCGGAACACCCCGCACTGATTCATTGGACTTAACCAGCATTGCGTAACAATAATCATCGCACAAATGAGCATTTGCGCCGATGAAACGCAACTGCCGGCACTGTTCCCCTAATTTACGCCCTCCCCTGCCACAGCGCGCTGTGCAACGTGCGGCCCAACACACCTCAAATGTCACAAACCCGACAATGACGTAATGTAACAAGCAGGCTGAGCGGGATACCTGAACGGTCCACGGCGGCTTCTGGCGGCGGCACGAAGGTAGGAGCTTAAAAGTTGAATGCACAGAACCACAGCCTCGACAATTTTCAGCCATCCCGTCCAGCCTGACTTCTCCCCCCCCCCCCCCCCTGCCCGGCCGACGGTGCGGCCAACCATACCCGGAGCTCGGCGCTCAGTTTGACGTTGCTCAGCCGGTAGTGGGCGGACGGTCCGTCGGGCAGGTGCACGTGCAGCAGCCCGTTGGCCACCACCTTGCGGCTCTTGTCCTCGTTGATGATGAGCAGGTCGGTGAAGCCGCGCGCGGAGGCCAACCGTGCCGTTTTCTTGATGGAGCTGAAGTTGCGCAGTCGCACTTCGGCGTTCGGGATCACCAGCGCCAGCTCCTTCAGGAAGTCGCGCGTCTTCTGCAGGCGGAGAACGTTCCCGTGAACACAAAGCGGATCACCAAACTCGCAGCGTAAGACGAGCCCGCCATTCGTCTTTCCCTGCAGTGTTCAGACGAGCATCTTGGTAGCACCATACCAGGAACATATCACTGATTGACAAAGCCTTAGGCACGTAATTACTTGGAATTACGAGACTTTGTGCTGACGATAACCGCATTTCAAATCAATTTTGTCCATCAAAGACGTGCGGCAAATACCAGGCTTCTGGGATGCGAATCTTCATGCGTACGCTCACTGCTCGGCGTCTGGCGCAATACCGACCGTGTGTATCATCAAAGACGGCAGGAAACGACGTGCACATGGTTCGCCACGCACCAACCAGCAGCACCCCACACCATAGCCCTCGTCACGCCCGACAGAGCCGCTGTGACCACCGCCGCCCGAGCGGCGCACCGGCCGGCGCCACGCGCGGTCGCCGCCGCGCTCACCGGGGACGGGAAGTCGCCGGCGGTGAGCATGACGCGCGGTTCGGCCTCGCGGCTGAAGTAGCCGCCGAACTCGTCGAGCCGGTCGGCCTCCTGCGTCTCCAAGTCGTCCTGCTGCACGGTCGTCACGTCCGGGATGCGCAGAGTCTCGATGGTGTGCGGCTGCAGCACCGGCGGCGCGTCCTCGCCCAGCTCCTCGCGCACCTTCTGGCGCTTCTTCCGCGCTTCGCGCTTCTCCTGGAAATTATGAGAGTCGCAATGAGGCAAGATAAATGTCCAGCCTGTTACGTGAAACAGGTATCTCAGCCGGACTGGTGACAGGCGGAAATCACACGTTCAAAGGTTAAGAAGCCACACACGCTGACATTTTCGTTTCGAACACACATTTGCTCAAAACTACCGCGATGACCTGCGGATGGCTGTTTCACAATGGGCGTAGGCTGCGAAAGGGCTGATGTTGATTATTCCCATGAGCAATGCAGACATGTACAGTGGGAGCACAAGCTTGGAAGTCATGCAGCCACACAAAACATAACATTTCCAATGTTGAGAGCATTAACACTGCAAAAGGTGGCTTAGTGGTGAGTACCATACCAGTCTATTAGCTGTTTTTTTTACAAAGCACTCCACCGACAAAATGGACAGGCTCCACCAGTAGTTCTTAACTTCAACTCAGAGATGAGGGCACATTATTGTACATGTGTACATAACTCCATTTCCTGAGCATTTACAGCCATGCCAACTCATAACAAATACCTTGTTCTTCTTCTGCCTCAGCTCCCTCCACTTTTCTTTTCTGATATTTTTGTTCTTGTGGTCAACACATCGTTCCGGCATGAGGGGCGAAGCAGCCCCTGGTGTTGATGCTTCAGCAGCTTTTGGTGTGAAAACCATGGTGGATGAAAACCCTGCAGCAGATAAATCATTTTCACACAGTAGCATGAGAACAACATGCCTCATATTCTCCTGCTAAAAACAGCCAACCACATACTAAAAAGAGGAAACATGCTGTACAATGAAACAAAGGCACTAGCCATACACACAATTAAGTTCTATGCAGTTTTATTCAGTTTCACTACATTACTGCACACCGGGCATTCTGCAACTGCCTTGCTACTTTAAAAGGGTATCACAAAAACCACATCACAATGATGATGTGAGACTGGTGCCCAAGTTTGGCCACATCCAAAGTTTGTCAAGGCTAGTCCAAGTCCATACTCCACAAAGCACACCTGCCAGCACAATACACATTACAAATACACAGAAAGCATCATGTACCTAAATTTGCCCATGTTGCTTTAATTCTCCTCATGCATACATCTGTTATAACATTGAATGAGGTATAGTAAACATAAGCAAAACATTACCACCCCACAATGTATGGCTACAGCTTGGCACTTTTCCACACATTTGTGGTCTGCCTTGCAGCATGTACACATGCTTTTAAGTTATGGCCACCATGATACATACTGGTGGTTCTAAATAGCATCTACACTTCTGCATATATGAGGTATAATAAACACAACCATATAAAGGCCTCAAATCAATGACTTGGAGATGCATATCATCAATGACCATGACTTAGAGAAGCATATCATCAACAAAGGAAGAGAGAAGAGTGAGAAAGTGACAGACACATCAGAACACCTGAAATCATCTACACAGCATGACACCTTCAGTGAATCCCTGTTCCCTCTGCCGGCATTGGTTTCCCTCCCCCTTACTTAAATGGTGCACACCAACCAACCACAACAGGAGTTCAGCTAGTGCACACCAACCAACCACAACCAACAGGAGTTCAGCTAGTGCCACTTCTCCAGAAACCGGCCAAAGACACAACACTCGGAGAGCTGAAAAGGGGGAAGGTTGCAACATGAAGACAACACAGAGCTTCGGCCCAGTTTACTGCAACCATGACTAGACAATGATCATTCAACCCAAAATCAAATTTGCAGCCACCAATAATAAAATATCAGTTAGCCATTTTTAAGTCACTGGTCTCATTGATGAAAATCACTGGGCCCAGAGCTAGCTGGTCTTCACGCAATGCCACTTGTTCATTTGTGCACAATTTTTCAGGACTTCTTAGACTGCCCATGAAGAATCAAACAGCTCATGCAGAGAAGTTGCTCCAATGCATTGGCAAGACCTTGCTGCACAGGTTCTCAAATAGTGTCAGGGTCTGTTCTCCTATACTTTCATACTGTCTACATGACAAAATCTATGTCCCTCTCACTCCATTCCAAAAAGGAGTCAAACTGGCAGTGCAGGCTGTTTGAATCACATGCTAGATAGGAAATGAAATGCGAGGGAGTTTCAAAAAGCTCCCGATCGATGATGAATGACAGCATAAATGCTACACAGTAAATAGCAAGCATGATACATTTCTTAACATCACACATTAGCCCTAACTTTGATGAAATCCCTATAAACGTAAGTGAGTGAATTATTATGTGGTTCGCTCACATCACCATTCGAGTAATAAAGAATCTGCCTTGTTTCCGGAACAAACTGAACAACATCCATTAGCAGCCAAATTGCTTGCACTTATTCGAGATGCAAGACAACGCATCCAGCGTACAATTAACATGCTCTGCTTCCAGGACAGGCTTTAGTCTTTCTGGCAACCATCTATAACAGCCGCAAGTACGGTACCTTTGTCGATGTCTCCACTTGATCCAAGTTCCCTCTACGCTCTTACAAGCCCTCAGGTCTTCCGTTCCCCGAACAAACGGAGCCGAAGCAGCTTGACTTGAGACACCATGAGGCCACACTTTCGTCTTAAGAGCGCCAACCTCGAGTCAAATGTTCTATAACTCTCAAAGCTGGTTCACATGGCTAACACTAGCAAAAATGAAAAGCAGAAGACAAGTATAACGAATCACAAGCGCTAAATGATGCTAGTGCTTGCCGTGCTCTCTGATTACGATTACCAACAGCAAGCGCCGCGTGGGCTACCGCGATCTGCTTCCTTCAGGAATTTGTTTGTGCTCGGGCTCTATAGCACCTGCGTGGCGGTCATATTCGCGGGTGTAAGTAGCACTTTCGTGCATTGTGAATAGGTGGGGTCTTCAGCGCAGCTCAATACTGATCTTTCCACGAGGACTGCCACGGGTATGTACCAGTAATGCGGTTGGTATGGGCCGGCTTGACGCCGTTGCCCACGTGTCACCGTGCATGGTATCCTCACGTTTATGATGTATTGTCTTCCATTTGCTATGTCTTATTTCCCCATTTTGATCCCTTGAAGGGCTATATGAGGCAGATGGATGAAATGACCCCTGTTCTTCCCATGCTGAATGTCCTGAATGGTGAACTGGTGGGTTGTCACGGCATGAATCAGACCACTGCAGCGATGAGTTTGTTTTTTGCAAGGCCTTGTGTACGCACGCTTAGCATTGGAGGGTGGTTACACACCACAAATTGCTTAGCCATATTCCATGGAGCTGGGATGGGGTCCAACAGCATGTATTGGTACAACATCCCTCAAAATTACCTAACAAACTGGGGTTTCCTCAGATTTGGCCAGGTTTGTTGGCAAGATTTGACCAGCTTAGCCAAATGAATAGCAAGGTATGCCCCAGGTGACTATAAACTGTGCCTGGGTATATCTTGACTTGTGCTTGCTAGTTAATTTACTGAGAATTAATCAATGTTCATAGGTTTTGCTTGTTCTACTGCTATGTAGAAATCAGTAAACACACATGACACATATGTCATAACTTTAAGTAACAACTGTTGTACCTTTGGAATAAGACAAAATGAGTTCGGTCAGTAAAAGAGAATCAGCAACAGATTCAGCAGTTGCTGTTGGAGACAAGAAATACCACCTTTGTGTATCTTTCTAACATCATCTTTCTGCCTGCAACCTCAAAGTAGAGCCCCAGTCTGCATTTAGCTAATTTTATCTGAGGCAATTGTGTCTTTACCAGCCAAAAACAGCTGAATCTTAGCTAGTTCTCAATGTTGTACTTAGCCTGTGCTTCATGTCTGCACTAACTTGAGACATCTTTGCTTCAGAATGCTATGTAGCTGTTCACTGTTCAGATTTGCTCTAGTCATTACATTGTTGATTTGCAACAGAATTGGAGCCATGAAGTAAGCCATGACCAAGCACGTGAAAGAACTGGACTTCCACATTTGGCACTTGCATGGTCATTGGGATTGGGGTGCCGGTAGTGTGATGGTTAACGCGTCTGCATTATGGTTATGTGGTTAACACGTCTGCGTTAACCACTGCACGCCCGGGAACCCAGAGGTATGGGGTTTGATTCCCTGCGGTACCTGCCCTTTCTGCCAGTGTGAGAGGTAGGTGATGCCATATAGCCTCAGCAGCTAAGTGTGTTGTAAAGCCCCAATGACACAAGGTCATTGGGATCACAACATATGAGGGTGTGACCTGCAGGGAATTTGTGACATGGCAAATCTCTGCAAAGCTTTCAAGGGTGTCAATCCAATAGTGCGGCTTTAAAAGGATAATGAAATATTTTCATTTAGAGGGATAATTGATTTATTTGAGAGTGTTTGCTTCATCAACATCTCAAAAAGTCATGGGCTTTGAACTGGGTCGGCGGTTATCGGTTCCACGTTTATATGGGGTTTTGAACTGAGGTAGCTATTTCCAAGATCATCCTGTGGAGCTCACAGCTATATGCTGATTAACGTTTCAAGCCCTCTCGCTTCTGAGCTTGACTCCCGCGAACTTCTGCAGCGTATTTCACATCCCCTATTTGAATGTCATCCAGATATGTATGTCATCATGACGGGCCCACGCCGTCCACCGCAATTGCAACTCTGACGCCGTCCATCTGGCAGTGTCATAAAAACGGCCCATGACATCCAAACGATGACTTGTTGAGTACCAGATATGCTAAAAAATGAAGTTGTATCATTTAGAGCAGTGTTTTACCCAATACCAATATTGCTGAGTAAGCTTTTCCATTATGTCTTATGTGAACCTCGTGGTAAAGAAAAGAGAATGGCGGGAACTAGTGTCAGCCAGCTGAAATATCATCCATGTCGCCTATGTGATCATGCCCTGCCTCCATGATTTTGGGCGCCATGTGAGCACGCAATCGAGGCGTCCGAAAGCCCTAATCTTCTATTACTGCTGCCTCCATAGCTTTGTTGGGTGAAAATTGACTAACGTTTTTTGCAGGCCAGTCATCGCGATGTACCTGATGTACCACATAGATGAGAATGGAGAGCGTGTGTATACATTGAAGAAGACGAACGATGACGGCCGGCCAACCCAGTCTGCACATCCCGCCCGGTTTTCGCCAGAAGACAAGTACTCTCGGGAAAGGATTACCATCAAAAGGCGTTTTGGCCTCTTACCGACACAGCAGCCCAAGCTCGCGTGTTGAACACGGTCCAAGTAAACAAGCTTCGCGCTGGCTCCTCAAAATGTGTGGTGTCATAGTGTTCAGCTATTAAGGGCGCACAACTCTGCATACGAGCTCGATCAAGATCGTGCCAGCCCTTAATGGAGGATCCATGAGGGCTCTTTACGGCAGGATGAGGTGTGTTCGTGAACATGCTGAAAGACACGCTTCACATGTCTCAATATTGTGAAAAACGGTGCATTTTGGTGCGTTGAAATGGTTCGATGTCGCACTGTACTACCCTCATAACATGATGTGAAGCATTCGTGTCCGCCAAGCGCTCCTTCCTGCTGATTTTGTAGTACTGGCGATAAGTTCTCCTTGAAACTCAACGGTTGACTACAAATGGCAACCCAACGACGCTCGGGTTGCATTATGATACAAAATCATTGCTCCTAAATATTTGGTTCTGAATGTTTCATGACCGGCTCGGAGTGAAATAAACATAGTGGGAACACTTTGTCATGGTTTTGTGAATTGTGCGTTGAATCCCTTCCCACACATAACTAGTGTGGGCAGAAGTAAACAACGTTTCTGTGTATTTTGGGTTGCACATGTAGGCGTGGAAAATAGTTTTGAAAGTCGGTGTGGCGGGCAAGGACGCATACGTGGCGTGTGCGTGTGATGAGAGACGGATAGTAACGGGGGGCAGATTATCAAGTTAATAAAAATGTGATGAGAGCAGGCCGTCGCTTAAAGGCCGTCAAACTAAACCCTGCTTTTTCAATAATTTTATTCTACGTTAGTCATAATGTCTGGAAAGGAATGGAACATGGGGGTAAAAAATACAAATGAAACATACAAAATGTATAGAATAATAGAAGGGATGGAAAAGAATGATAAGAATAATGCTCAATGGTTTCGTCTATCCCGTATGCAATACCAGACATACCTATTTACTCACCATGCATGGCTACAGCGCGAAGCATTCGCATAAACAAGCTTGGATCAATGTGAGCTGGCGCCAGCACGACCGATGGGACCAGCCAGCTGAAACATTGACAACACCCACAAGCGACCAACCAAAACTCTCCGCCTGGGACGGCACAATACTTGTACCGCGTCGTAGTTCTCTGAGCATTTGGCTTAGCTCTGAGTCATCCATCGCTCTTTAGATTCGCTTCCCCATCCTTTGCCTTCACTGATCATTGCATGTCACGCGGCCACTTGGCTGGGCTCTAGGCCGCTCAACATCACCGAGTCCCATAAACATCCTGCCTTGGTCTGAATCTCGTCAGAATCCTGAATCTTGCCAGGCTTGGTCATACTAATACAAATTATCGACCCATTTAGATCGGCATTCGTGGGGCCGTTAATATCTTTGTACAGTTCATATAAAGATCCTGATTAAGCTCCCGAATTTTATCGGCTTAGAAAGAGTTCACTGGACCATCGTAAAGTGAGAAGCGCCGGTAATGTATTTCATGCAGTCAATTAACGCATAGTTTCTTCAGTTGATTGACTATAAAATTCAGATAGCATTGGTTTGGTAGTAGCTTACGACTTATATTCCAGGTTTAAAGGGTAAAATGAACAACATCCAGGTTAAACATGCGCTTATAAATAAATGGGCCGTATTCGGTGATTTCTTGGGGGGGGGGGGGGGGGCGGAAGGAACTTTTGCTATCATTTGCCAACTAGGTGCTCCCCGCTTGCCAAGGCTCTGGCAGCTCATCCCCAGGCTTTGTGCGCTTCACTGGATCTTCACTGGATCCGACGGGATCGGACGATACCGGACGAGACCGGACTGCACGGTTCGGAACCAGACGAAATCAGACGCGACTAGACAAGTGCTGGACGTGATCAGACGGGACATGATGGGACCGGATCGAATGCAACGAGATCAGACTGGACTAGATGGTACCGGATGGATCGGTGGGACCGGATGAGAGCAAGCATGCCCGGAAGTGACCAAACCGAACTGCACGGGGTCTGACAGTATCGGACGCCACCAGACGTGGCCGATAGAAACCGAACGGGACGGAATGGGACCAGACGGATTGGACGGCATCGGGTGGAGCGTGATGAGCTCAGACGGGACTGAACAGGGTTGGAAGAAACCGGCTCGAACATGATAAGGCGGCACGGGGCTTAACGGTGCCCCTCGAAACCTAATGCGATAGGACGGGTCCGGATGAATCCGGATGGGACTGGATGGGATTGGACGCAATTGACGGGACTAGAGAGGACTGGATAGGACCGGACAGAACCGAAGATGATCAGATCAAACCAGACGAGACCGGACGGGAACAATTGGCACAGGACGGGACCGGATGAAGCACGAATAGAACAGAACGAACCCTGACGGGACCAAAACGTGACCGAATGGGACCAGATGGGGCTCGTCTAATTTCGCCCGG